GGAGGAGGAGGGAGTAGAGAAAGAAATGAAGGAAGAGGAAGAGTAGGAGGTGGAGAGGGAGTACGGAGAGGAAAAGGAGGAAAAGAGAGAGGAGGAGGAGAAAGAGGAAGAGGAGGAGGGAGTAGAGAAAGAAATGAAAGAAGAGGAAGAGTAGGAGTTGGAGAGGAGTTTTAATGCGTTAAAATGGCAAAAATTTCTGTAATTTCCTCAAATTTCTGGCGAGTGTGCTTGAGAAGCACTGAAATTAATGGGCTTCAATACTGGAACTATTGGTTGTTTGGAACTATTGGCTGCTCCATGACACGCTTTACTTCCGCATTCCTCAGTTCCTATGGGAGTGTCGCAACTCTGTTTCTCAACGGCTCTGGATCAGGCATGCAAGAGAATTTAACCCCTGCTGCCTGGCCAGGGCCAGTATAGCCTGTGAGGTTCTCTGGCTTGTCCCAGATTGAAGACGGGATGCTGGAGCAGAATAGTTATTTTTGTTGTTGTTTGTTGTATTGTACTGTACCGTACCACAAGCAACACTTATTACCGGTTTTTGTAGTATTGTTTTGAATTTATCTCATCAGTGTGTAAGACTGTGTTGTAGTGTTGTAGTTAGGGCTGTGCGATTAATCGAAATCGCGATTTAAGACGTTAAGATTGGCTAATCGCAAAGCCTGCGATGTGGACGCAATATTACTCTGTTCCAGAACATATGCATGACTGCCAGCCTTGAGTTGCAGTCTTACTTGCCCTGGGCAAGAGTGAGCGCACCTCCGTTCTCCCCAATCAGCACTGTTCTAGCCAACTGCATAAACGCCCACCATGTAAAAAAACAAATAAATAAAAAATAAAACAAATCGGGAAGGGAGAGAGACAGAGTGGGATTATGGCGTCTACTGGGTCAGATCGATAGTTAGGCAAATCAAAACTAAAGAAAAACGTATGAAACTTAAGCTTCGAAATGACAGACAACGAACAAAAAAGGTCATTTGCAAGAGTTGCGTCACAGCGCATATCAAGTGCTCCCTTATCGGTTCCGTTTTCAGTACTGGAGAAAAAAAGATACATTCTTAGATGTTTTTGTTAGTACATGAACATTATCCTAAACATTTTATCTCCCCAACAGATTAATGTGAAATAAATTTATAATGCATGTTGGCTATTTTTAAGCCCATAAATAATAATGTACTCATTCTAATAGATTAATTAAATTATCTTTACATTGCTGGAAGGTAGTGCTGGGCGGTATACCGGTTCATACCGAATACCGGTGTTTATTTTTGTTACGATATGAATTTTTAAAATACCGCAATACCAGTGTATGACGCTTAAACAACGTTCAGAACGCGACACTGTTTGAAACGGGTCCGTTTTCACTGTTGCACTGTGGTGAGGGAACAGCTGTATGTGTTACTAAGCGTGAAAGTTCCGAAACTGAAGCTGTAGAACTAATAGAACATGATGACACAGAAGAACTCATC